ATCTCCGCAAACTTTATATATCAACGTTGTGCGAAAACCATATCTGTTAAAAACGATTTGCAGTTTTTCCTCCATTTTTACAGGTTCAAACTATGTAGAAATTGATCTAATCTTGTTATTTTAATAAAATAAAATTTGAAAAATTTTACTTGCGTAACATTAATCACTAAGACGCGGAATTTCAATTCAATTTATTTTTCTTACTTTTTTCATTGTTTTGCCCATATAAACTTCACTTAACAATTTTCACTTAATTTAGATCAGAATAAGTGAAAAATATTACGTTTAGCGTTTCAATAATTGATGATTATGAAATGCAGCATGATACACCGGTATCTTTTTCTGTGTGAAAGGTCAAATCTTCTAAACACGGCTCACTTACAAACAATTTTTTTCTTTCAAATATGCATTTATTTATAGTTATTTACATCTAACAAAAACCGTTATTCATTAATGAAATTTTTTTTAATTTGCAAAATTAATTATTGACACATTTTAAACATGAATAAATAATTTTTTTTCAAACTATATATATATTTTTTTGAAAGTTAAGATTTTAATACAAAATATAATTTCAATAATCCAACAGATTTTTTTAGTAACTATTAGACTGTTTTGTATAGTTACAAAAATAGCAAAATACATTTTTTCTTGTAAACAGAACTTCAGAAGAAAATACATAAAAGCGTCGAAGTGTTAAAGAATTAGGCATTCATAAAATCAATAATGTTATTTTTTAATTCAAAAAGCTTTTTTAACTCCATTGCAAAATAACAAAGTTAAAATTTTTTAATGAGATATTCAAGTCAAATTCTGTCAAGTATTTAGCACATCCACAAGCAACAATAAAAATAAGAAAAATAGGAAAACAACAAGTAATTCTCGCAGACTCTAATGATTAGATAAAATCACATAACAATTTGTAGTAATGCATATTTATGTGAAATAAATTGCATTGATTGTTTAGATAACATGCGAACAATGCACTTTGCAATCACGTCAAGACACAGAGCACTTAAAGCTCAAAATAATATTTAGTTTTACAAAATAACTTAGATTTAGAAAAATATAGTTCATGCAAAGCTTTTTTTACCATTTTTTTCCATTTATATTTTTATTTTGTAGTTACGTGAACGTAACTACTTCCTTTCAGCTTTAGAGTGATCTAAATCTTTGGAAAAAAATTCTGCATCCATTATAATAATTACTTCAAATCATGTATGGACCTGCCTTACCTTCAAAACTTCTAAAAAGTTGCGAACAGAATGACATCACGATATCATCTTTTCCATTTCTTCAGAACAATAATAATTACCCTTCTTACTAATGACAGACGTATTTTCAAAAACAGCATCGAAAGAAAGAAATTGAGTTACTAATGTTCTTTCATGTAGTGAAGGGATACAGGGGGGGGGGTAAAACACTAAATAGAAAATAACTGAGTAAAGTACGATCTATATAGAGGAGCCAACATTCCAAACTAGCTACCAGTTATCAGAAGTGCAGTAAAACAGAATAAAAAATATAGTTATAACTTCTTTCGAAATTCTTACGCAGTTCAAATTAGAGCAATTTTAAAGTGCATATACTACTTAATTCTGCATATATATAAGATAATAAAATTATGCATGCATTTACCAAATAAAAAAAATAAAAAAGTAACACTTAGATAAAGGTACTAAATTTAAATTCCACACTGCGCACCGATCCTGGTGCGTGAGTGGTAGCGATTCGCCCTTCCGTGCCTTGGGTCCCGGGTTCTGTCCTCGGACGGCGTAAGGTTAACTCAGCCTTTCATTTCTTCAGTGGGTCGATAAACTGAGTAACAAGCATGGTAAAGAACCAAACAATGGAGATTCTGCGTTCGGCTGACCATCCAACCAGAACATGTGCTCAAGGTAGGTTAAAAACACTGAGATGGGCACAGTAATCCTTGGCTCTCCATGGGCTGTCACACCGCTGAGTTTTGTTTAGCTTGGAAATTTTATGCTTAATTATAAAATTAAATTGATTACTTGGCAGGGGTCTGTCCAGACATTTTGTGAAAGGTCCGTTTTTCGTGAAATTGTGAAAAAATTACTCACATTCCTTCAACCAGGGTCCGCTTTTATGAATTTGTGTAAATAGGGTCCGTTATTGCAAAAAAAATTTTTTTCAAGGAGTTTTTAAATTGTAAAGACATACAAGATTATGCTCAACACTGTAAAATTATAATTAAAAAAATTAAATTTTAAAAAATAAACAACAATTGCTGCTTCTAAATTAGAGATGCAACATACAAATATTTGGTATTTAGCCTATACTGCTGAACGCAGAATATTCATTTCGGACGAATAATGGAAGAATCGTCTGCCGAAGACAAAACTTAATTCGTTTACATCCATCTTTCTTGTTTTCTGCCCTGGAAAGGGTTTATTCGATTAACAAAATAATAATGAAGATAAACAAATTTGTGAAGGGTCCGATTAAAAGAAAAATTATTTTGTGAAGGGTCCGTTTTTAAGTTAAAATATTTTGTGAAGGGTCCGTTTTTATTAAAAGATATTTTGTGAAGGGTCCGTTAACGGACCCAAATTTCTTCTAAACAGACCCCTGCTTGGCATTATTGTTGGAGTTTTTAATTAAATCATAGATAGGTCTTATTTTATTTTTTATCGTCCTGCATTTGAATCACTAAAAGATTTTTTCCATAGCCTTTTTGCGCAAATTTTACTCTATTGACGCGCCTTCACAAACCGGAGTTTATGTTCTTTTGCTTTTCTATGAGGGGAGAAGATTAAGTTTCAAAATGGCTTGCTGAAAGGGGGAAAGAAGAGATTTCTTTCATATTTTTTATTTCTTGCTTTGATCGAATCGTTTTTTTTTTTTTTTTTTTTTTTTTTTTTTTTTTTTTTTTTTTTTTTTTTTTTTTTTTTTTTTTTTTTTTATTTGTAGTTTTTAGAATATTATATACTTGCAAACAACAAAATTTCGTAACTCTAGGTAGCTAAGGAAAAAAAATATTTACGGAAATTTTCAAAAGCCGTAGTTCTTATTATTCAACTTTAAGACGTTAACTTGACTACAAAATCACAATAATTTCGGATAAATCATAATAGTTCGCATCTTTGTGTGAAAATTAAATTTAAAGTATTGTTCAGTTATTGGTACATAAAATAAAAGTATTCTTTAACAGTTAGTACAGCAAAGTAAAAGTTTTACTCAACTATCATTATATTAAATTCAAAATATTTTTACATGAGTTGGATGTTAATTATATATCTAATGATGATAAATAATTATTATAACTATATGAAATATTTTAAAGTTTATATTGTCACTTCACTTTCTTCAATTTGCATGAAACATTTTATAAAAATATTCAGCTAAATATGAATAAACTGCTTAAATAAAAATAAAGAGGAATTTCTTTTAATCTGATATTTTACGGAAACAAATCTTTATTATATAAGTATGATCCAATAAAAATAATTTAAAAATCCGTAAAAGGGAAAATGACGGTTTTTCTCTTTGATTTTTTTTGTTAAAAAAGTTTTCATTCTCATTTCTTCTTAAAGTATATATATATTTTTTTAAAAAAAAAAGTACACTTTAGAATTTTGTCCCTTAAAAATACACTTAAAAAACATATTGTAAACAGCATAATATACCTTACCTAAACAAATCGGATACACAAATAGTAAATTAAAGTTTTCATGTAAATAATAAATTTTTTACTGTATTAAAATTTTTAATGTCACCTATAATTATTTAACAGTTAGAGAATAAGTTTCGTTTCATATATTAGTTAATGGGCCTATCATAGACAAATTTCAAAATAATGTATAAATATTTTAGAACAATCTTCAAAAACCTTTATTTTTGATTTTAAAAAAAGGTTTTATTTATTTCCTTTAAACATAAAAGAACATTTCATCCTGTAAATAACAACTGATATAATTAGGGAGGAAGACAGATTTGACATCGGCACTTTGCTTCTTCATATTAAGATTGCAATATTATTATATCCTTTGGTAAGCTGTTCCATGTGTAAAGTAATTAATCTAGAGTGATAAACACAAAAAGTAAATTATTCTAAAAATCTTCTATCTCTATTCTATTTGCACTAGTACAAATTCCAGATATGTTTAAAAATAAATGAATGTGTCATGCTTAAATTTCAAGACATTATTCTTGTGTTATCATCTTAAAAGCAAAATATCTAAATTTTTTTTCAAAAAGAGGTATTTTACCTTATTTATATGAAACAGAAAACTTTCACAAAATTGCCCAAGTTCATATTACTTACATTCAAAAATTATCGGATGAATATCCGGTATAATATACAGGGAATTTGAGTGCATATCATACGTAAAATCCATTTTACCAAAATATCCATTACTAACGTAAAATATTGTACAGGAAATTTTACGGTAATTATTTCTTTAAAATTTACGGTAAATCAGACTTTTTTCCGTAACATGGTCCAGTAAAAATGGATTTGATTATACCGTAATTTGTACAGTAATATTTATTTAATTGGAGTGATTCAATGATTTTACGGTAATTATCGCTGTCAAAATTAACATGTTCCTGAGAAAATGGATTTTACGGTAATGTACGGCACTCAGGGTACTGGCACTTTTTACCATACTTTTTTACCGTGTAGACACCCTTCAAATTTATAAAATATAAAAAAAAATCTGATTGTTTCTTTTAAATATTTCATTTTGGGAAATAATCGGTAAATAAATAATCATGGTAAAACCATTGAAAATTTAATTACTGTACCTATTTCAATATACCGAACATTTGAAATACGACAAATGACCGAGTCATGATTATTATCATATTGATATTGTACTATATTATTATCATATATGTAAATAAATAAAAGAATTCGTGGAATTGATTTCTCGCAAATTGACAATTACAGTGATCAAAGGAACCTTCAAACAAAGACAGAAGGTGATTTTTTTTGATGCTGCCATCAATCATCAAAGAAAAAAAACTTAACTTACTCCTCTGGTGAAAGCATCCATTATGTCTGTACTTTCTTTAAATATTCGACCTGCAGGTGTAATGCTGAAGATGAACTCCGGCCAAAGCCATGGTTTCATGAATCGGGTTCCAAATAAATGGGATGCGCTAGAAAGAGAGATGAATGTTAATCGATGTTTGCAAATTTTAATAGTTGCTTTATACTAAAAGTGAAAAAGCAGGGTTCCAATTGCTTGGAGTTTTTTTTTAAAGTGGTAGCAAAAGTGATATAACGTTTTTGTTCTTAAAATAGCATTCTTTAAAATGATATAAAAATTTGAATACCTTTCAATTCAATTAAATAAAATCACAAAAAAGTAATAAAATATTAAAAATAAATTTTTGCATGGAATTTTCTTTGGATAAACAAATTTCATAATTGTGTGCAAAAAGTTTTCAACTGGCTCGAAAGTTTCTCGAAATATTTAGAAATACGCAGCAAGTAAAACTAACATAAATGGGTCCGAACTTTCGATCGCTGTCCTCAACAAACTATTGGGACATTATTTCCCAGTCTTGTATTTTAATGGTCAGAAATCGAAAGCCATAAAAAAAGTATGTTTATTCACAGTAAATACGTTTTGGCGTCTGATTTCGCAACTTAAAATATCGTTTGCTCTAATTAATTAGCATATTTGTGGTTACCTTTCCAACCCATACGATTTCGTTCCAGTATGGAAAAATCCGACGATTAGATTAAAGGTTATTCAAGGAGGTTCGGGAGGGATTCCACTTTTTACTGTACAAAAAAATGCTTTCGTATCTGTCTTTTTTGAAATATGTCAGGTGCAACTGAGAAATTAAATGTATAATTAGATAATTATCTAATCTCTTCTTTCGAGATAAGCACCATGGCAGCATGATTAGTTTTTAAAATATTTTCTAGTGTATGATGCATGTATGTTTTAATCAGCATTTTAAACTTAATATTCATGCTTATATAAGTTTAAATATTCTCTTGACTTGCATTAAGGTGATATTGTATTAAAAACTAAAATAGCTACCAGTTCATTCACAGAAACACTCTGGCTCAATGTCGGAGATCTTTACTTTTCATTGGGCCAATTTCACATACATTTTTATTTCCCCAACTTTTAACATTTTATGTTATAACGTCCATGACTATGTATCTGTAGTATGAAGAGTAATAATTACATTAGTATGAACAAGATTCTAAAATTTATTAAGTTTAAATTTATCGACAAAATTAAGCAGCGTGACAAATTTCCTTGAAATTAAAAGTATCAAGTGATATTAATAACAAGTTGATTAATATTGAGTTCACAAGAGAGGAATAGGGAAAGATAGATATCTTATTGATACATATTTAAGATAAACATAAATGATAGTTTGTCACGCATAATAAAGAATATCAACTTTGAATCATTATCAGTAGAGGAATTTTGACGAGAATCAGTTACCATGAATATATAGTTTTTTTTCTTCCTAAAAACATTAGTATATAATTACAATTTGTTTTTAACAACGCTTAAATCATGAATGCGTTCTATCTTCACACGGAGAAAAAAATTCTGGTAAAATTACCATACTGTAATGACATTTCTGGTACAAAAATCCAGGTAAATAAAACCAGCCTGGTAAATAAAACCGAAACATATGGTATTTAAAACAAGCATTTGATAATTTTTCCGTTCATATGGTATTGGTTTATCCAGGGGTCTGTTTAGAAGAAATTTGGGTCCGTTAACGGACTCTTCACAAAATATCTTTTCATAAAAACGGACCCTTCACAAAATATTTTAACTTTAAATAGGACCCTTCACAAAATAATTTATCTTTCAATCGGACCCTTTACAAATTTGTTTATCTTCATTATTGTTTTGTTAATCGAATAAACCCTTCCCGGGAAGGGGAGGGGGGAGAAAAACAAATGTAAACGAACTAAATTTTGTCTTCAGCAGACGCTTCTTCCTTTATTCGTCCGAAATGAATATTCTGCTTTCAGAGCAGTATAGGCTAAATACCAAATATTTGTATGTTGCATCGCTAATTTAGTAGTTGCAATTGCTGTTTATTTTTTCAAAATTTAATTTTCTCAATTATAATTTTTCAGTGCTGAGCATAATCTTGTGCGTCTTTACAATTTAAAAACTCCTTGAAAAAGTTTTTTTGCAATAACGGACTCTATTTGCACAAATTCACAAAAGCAGACCCTGGTTGAAAGAATGTGACTTAACTTTTATTTAATATTCACAAATTACGAGTAATTTTTTCACAATTTTACAAAAACGGATCTTTCACGAAATGTCTGGACAGACCCCTGTTATCACAAATACAGGTTGTCAAAAATACAGTTCTTATTACCACACATTTTTTTATAAAATACAAATAACCGAATAAGTAGTTTTTATGCCATAAATAGTTTTTAAGTTTCATGATAAAATTACGAAATTTTATCACACATTATAAAACCATATTTTAATGTTATTTTTACTAAAATCACTTCTTAAGCTGTTCGGAAAATTTTTACCAAGCTTTTGGTCTTCCAATGGAGCTAAAAACGCAGTTAATTTTACTATATTTCGGTAGTTTTGATCATACTTTTTTTTTTCTCAATGCATGATTTGAAAACTATGAATAGGAATTATTTTAAAATACTTACGCGTTCAACGCTTTCACATAAGGAGTATCTTTCTCTTGTGCTCCAACATATTTCCCCATAGCCGTCTCTGAAAAAGATTGGATCAAACAAAAATGAAAACATTGGGTTAAATTTATCTACATTTAGAAAATAAATATCTATATTTTCAGAGATTTTTGATTTTAAAAAACGCTGAAAACAAACTCTATACTGAGTAAATATTGGAAAAAACTGAGAAAATATTAGAAGAGAATGAATTTAGAACAGAAAACTATTGAAAGATCAGTTTGCTCATTCTGTTCATTTTTTGAGATTATTTTTTTTTAAAGTTAAAAAAGTTTTTTTTCGTCATTTGAAAAACTATTATGTTTGAAAATTCGGTCATTTTAAGGACAATCCATCTATGTCTTACTAGTCATTTTTATGAAAATGTGCGAAAAAAGATACGTATATCAGAAGATAGTATATAGAAGAAGAAATATACCGGAAGAAAGTGAATTTAGAACAGAAAAATAATGTAAGATCAGTTTGCCCATTAAGTTCGTATTTTGAGAATATTTTTTTTAAAGTTTAAAAGTTTTTTTTGGCATTTTAAAAACTATTATGTTTGAAAATTCGGTCATTTTAAGGACAATCCATCTATGTCTTACTAGTCATTTTTATGAAAATGTGCGAAAAAAGATACGTATATCAGAAGATAGTATATAGAAGAAGAAATATACCGGAAGAAAGTGAATTTAGAACCGAAAAATAATGTAAGATCAGTTTGCCCATTAAGTTCGTATTTTGAGAATATTTTTTTTAAAGTTTAAAAGTTTTTTTTGTCATTTTAAAAACTATTATGTTTGAAAATTCGGTCATTTTAAGGACATAAGGACAGTCCATGTAAATCTTATTAGTTATTTGTATGAAAATGTATTAAAAAAGATACGTACATTAGAAGATAGTATATAGAAGAAGAAATATACCGGAAGAAAGCGAATTTAGAACAGAAAATTAATGTAAGATCAGTTTGCCCATTAAGTTCGTATTTTGCGAATATTTTTTTTTAAAGTTTAAAAGTTTTTTTGTCATTTTAAAAGCTATTATGTTTGAAAATTCGGTCATTTTAAGGACATAAGGACAGTCCATGTAAATCTTAGTATATAGAAGAAGAAATATACCGGAAGAAAGCGAATTTAGAACAGAAAACTAATGTAAGATCAGTTTACCCATTAAGTTCGTATTTTGAGAAATAAGTATTTCTCCTTTAATTTTATGAATTCGTGTTTTGTCCTTTTAAGAACTAATATGTTTGAAAAATGTCCAAACATTCTAAAAATGTCCAAACGCCTAGAATGAAAAGATTTCCAATAACCATTGATGTGATTTGTATAAAAATTTCTGAAACGTTGTTTTCATAATCTGGAGCTGTATTTTGCTTGAGATTTAAATTCTTTTAAACTGGACACAGCATACATATGCGTAGGAGCTAAATTACAAACAAACCTATAATTATGAAGCTGATGTAGAAACAAAGTAACTAAATTTCCTGTAAAAGGAGACTTCCTTTACTTTCTAATGATTGAATGTGAGATTACATAGTGAGAAATTTCATAATGTTTGTATTTTCTTAATGTTATCACTTCCATAATTAATTAATAATATTCCATAATATTTAAATCGCGAAATAAACAAAAACGTCGTCAATGATTCGAAGCCTACTTCCAATAAACGATTCCGTTTACCTTGGAGAAAAATTTCTCATTCATAAGAACTATTCATGGAAACCTGACTTGCAACAGCAATTAAATAGATGAATGATAATAGATTCGCAAATGGCTATGGCTGTTAGCAAAATTTTATCTGATCTTTTTCTACCTTATTTGTTGTCACGAAGAAGAATATAGCAGCATTTAACACTTAAGTGGAATAATCACAAAAAAAAAAGTTCGCTTCCATTTCTTTTCATTAGATAATCGTGGTTTTATTCTTTTGTCGCCCTATATATTGAGAAAATTAATAAATTTGAAATCGGACCCAGTTATGCTACTTTGGCTCATGCAATTGGAATCATTTCACGATATCTGCACTGGGAAAAATAAATACTCAAAATTCACGGAATTTCTTTCGTTTTTGAAAAAACTTTTTTCTGGGAATGGCTACGAGCAAGCATTTTGAAAAATGGAAAGACAATTTTCTTCCCTTGCATGTTGAGGTGTGTACTTTCTTGCTCTTTTTTCTTCCTTTTGCGCATCAAATAGGGAGGCGGTGGTTTTTTCGTTTATTTCAATTTAGTTCTTGCTTGGTAGTCAGTAGTGTAATTTGGTTATAGGATTTGTTTTCAAATAAGTTTTTCAGCGTTTTATTCTTATGTATTAGTCTTGATTTTATACTTTGGTATTTGCTTAATGTATTTTATATTTTGTATTGTATTTTCTCTTCCTAGACTTAGGCAAAACTTCCGGGGTACAGAAAGAGCAATTTAGACATTTGTCGTGCTCTCAGGGTAGAAAAGGTTTTGAATTTATGGCTTCTGGAGCTGGTACCCCCTGAAGATATCAGCTTAGGTTGTCGTATTTTCTCATAATTTTCCTTTTTCATGCTTTTTAACGAAAATACAGTCCAGCTATTTTATTTTATAACCGTCGTTGAACAGCCGATCCAAGTTCATGGGTTTACAACTACTAACGTTCAACTCCGTAGCCTTGTAATTTTGAACCAATCCAGAAGACAAGGAAACTCCTGGATCAGTACCCCCAGAGGTATTGATTTGTTGTGGGAACATGGAGGACTTTGAGACTCGACAGATTTAACGTGCATCAGTCACCATTTACTACACGGGGAGTCTTCGGCCGGCGAGGATCGAACCCACGACCTCTTGGATATGGGCCCAGCACCCTACCGACCAGGCTATCCCGGCCCTTGAAAGTAAATGTCCAGCTATTTCGAGAACTCCAGCCAATTGAAAGAATGAGGTTGCCCGCTGCTGCAGAAACAGAAGTTAAACTTTATCTATGGAAAGACATACCAAGCTAAACCCAAACAAAACGATGAACACCACATCCTTATTTTAAGTGTGACATATCTTCATAAGCAGTGACTGCGGACCACGAGTCTAGAGTCCAGAGAACTTATCGGTGTTGTTAGACAAAACTTGGTTCGCAAAAATAGGTGCTTTAAAATGCATGCGATTTTATATCGACATAAAAAGGGAAGAAAAAAAAACATTGAGATAACGATATCATTTTGGCAGCAAATTACAGAGGGGTTCTATATGACTAAAAAATTTTATTTCTCAAAATTGAATACTCAATCTTTAATAAACACCTATAGGTACCACCAAATTTGCATTCCTCAACGATAAAGCACAATTTTTTTTTTATGAACATTTAATTTTTTGCCATTTTAATTCATTCGTATTCTAAATTACGTTAAATCGAGTAGACTTCGAAAAAAAATATTTTCAATAGCTCATACTAAATTACTCTCAACATCATGTTTCTTCGAAAACCTGAAGCGTTTAATCCCATATTACTTGCTGTGAGAACCGTAGTGAAAAAAAAGAAGATATAAACTGCAAAATGGTCCCGAATTTTGTAAAATGTTTCAAGCATTTTATTAATATAAACAAGGCAATTGTAAATACTATCTGTTATTATGGCTTTTCAGTTTTCAAATAAATAAATAGAATAAAATAATAATAATAAGGAAAAAAAAGAACTCAATAGAGCATTTTACAATTGAAAATTTGATCTCCCGCAGTCATAACTTTGTTAAAATATATCATTTACAATTTGACTTTTTTAAAAAGTATTGAACAAACTGACACCCATACACATTACTGATGCGTTAAAATGTAATAAAATAAAACATTACAAATCAACTATTCAAAAACACAAAGAATGTTTTCCAATTGTTCAAAAATATCTTTAACTAAAATGTGTTCTTACAGAGTGAAAAAAAATATTTTTAAATATGTACTTAAAAAAAAAAAAAATCTGAATTTGATAATTTGTCTATGCTTTTTACCAAATTTCTACTCTAATGTGCAATTGCTTGTGTAATTAACAAAACTACATTTTTTCTATCATAAGCAAATTTGTAAATACACTAAAAAAAAGTAGTTATGTGCATTACCGCACAGAATGTCGAGCGAGCAGAGCGTGACGTAGGGCACAAGGTCGAAAGATTTGCTGCCCACTTCATCCTTCAGTTTCTCGGCAAGGTAGCGAGCGTGGCTGTCGATGACAGGTAAGAAATCATCTAGTATGCGGAAGTGGAATGCCGGCGTCAGGAGCCTCCTCCGCTTCTTCCACTTCATTCCGGAACTGGAATGAAAAATTATCTTGTTTATCATTACTTCTCTTTGAAGATGCATACTTACAGAATTGCTTTTTGGAACTTACAAACAATTACGAGCATAATTGCTTTTAACGACTTAATAACGTAATATTTAATGTAGCTTACTAACATCGATCCATATAATGTTGAAAAGTCTAAATAAATATTAGAAACATAGTCTTTGAATATGGAGACTGGTTCTAAAGAGAAAATATTAATATGAAAAATTAACCAATTCCAGCATTTTGTTTTTCGTTTTTTTCAAGATATTGCATTTACTTAAGGCTGGTCAGCACAAATCTTCGGTTTACGAAAGATCTGTAAAAATTACACAGGTTAATTTTTTTCTGCTGCGTGATTTTTTAAAAACAGTTTTAGGTAATTTCGTATCGCTGATTTCAAATCTGCAATAAGTTTTTCTCTCCAAGCACCATAATTTTTAATCGATATTTTAGAGAACTGTTTAAGTTTGTAAACGTTATACAAAAAAAGAGGGTCGCATAAATGTTGCGACAATCTTCTAAGAGCGTTAGAGCACAACATAGAGAATAAAATTGCATTGAAACCCATGTCAAGAAGTGTCCTTATACGCCAAACAATAAAAGCGCTTGCCTATTATAACCTGCTTCTTCGTATGGTTCTGAACAATATAATAGGAAAGCGTTCCCAGCCGTGTACGACGAAATTTACTGACGTGGGTTCCTAAGCCATTTTTATAATCATGATGTGTCCTATCTCCCCTAAAAGTTGGACAAAACATTTATGTGATCCCCTTTTATATATAGCGTTTTTAAACCTAAACATTTCGACGAAAAATAGATTAAGACTGTCATTCTTAAAAAAACATCTGAAGATTTAGGATCAAAGCCAAATTTAGATTTGAAATCTCCACACTTGAATTATGCAAGTGCAAGTATTTGTATAAATGTAACACAACATTTGTTCCCCTTTGTTTTCAACATTCACAGAGGAAAAAAATTTGGTAATGGCATTTCAGACAACAACAAAAAAATTAAATAAATAAAAATCATGATTTTTATACTAAAACCAAAATATCGTATTTAAATGCAGTAATTAACAATAAAATCATATTTTATTGTTAATTTTACCAGAATGATTGCCAACGTGATTCCCTAAAAAATACTAAGCTTTGCACTTTCTCATAGAACCAGAAAACGGTAAATTTTAGCATATTCTGGTAGATTTGGCCATACTTTTTTTACTCAGAGTTAGATATTGAAAAAAAAACAATATTATATTTTGTCATACACTCCATCTTGTAAGCGTTCATTATACTCTAATTTGTAATAATATTTGTGATACATTTTAGTATTCCAACTAGTTATAATTTTTTTGATTTTCTAAGATAAGCCCCATTATGAAAAATGTCTTATATCGTAGTTTTGGTATTGAATAATGTAGTTCACTGCATTTCATAACTTACTTTCAAAAGTTTTTTCTTTTCTTTTCTGATCACTCGCGAGACCAGGCCCTTCTCAGAATTTAATGTATATACCGCCCTGTTCTTGTTCAAGGATTTTTAATTTGTAATGTGACTTTGTAATTTGAGAATCATTGTCTAAACAATCGGACAACCTAAGTCTTGGTCTTACTCAGATTTTTGATCATTTTAATATTTTATGCTTAGATTTTATTTTAATTTTATGTGTACATATTATACAATATTTTTCAATGTAAAATTTTTCAACGATTATTAAAGTATGCTATTTAAAAAAAAACACGAATAAAAAAATAAAAAACCCAACGAGGAAAAACTATTGAATGTTAAAAACTTAAAAACAACAATTAAAACAATTTTAGAAATTAGAGCTTAATACTTGCACTTAATGGTTCATAATTATACTAATCCATTAAATTTATTCTCCATTACATTTATTGAGAAGAAAGAAATATTTGCTTTCGCTATTACTAAAATTGAATTGAAATTAACTAGCTGTTTGATTTATTTAAAAAGATATTAGTAATGATTAAAGTTATGAAATAAAGGAAACTTGAAAGCTACGTATTGGCATCACAAGGTGATTTCAACATAATTATATTTAAGATGAAAATTTTTCTCAGTTACATTTCAAACCATTACCTTGTTATTAAGCCTTGTTTGAACCATGGCGCCAAAAAATCATATGCAAATGTCTTCTCAATTAATGCATTGCTACTGAGAATAACCTAAAAAGAAATAATTTGCAATAATAAATAAATAAATTAATTAAAATAAAAAATAAATAAACTAAAATAACGCAAAAATATCATTATTTACGTTATTTTAATTAATTTTTATCTTGATTTTTAATCTAGTAATGAAAAACATTAAGGATAAAATAAAAGATTCTTTATTGTATTTTTAAAATACTTTTTTCCCGTTACAAGCGATACAACTTAATAGCGGTATTTTGTATTTAAGTAATTAATACTACGCAATAGAAAGTTAACTTTTCTAATTTATCTAACGCAAGTAAGTATAATAATTTGATAGAATTTGATTATTTTTAAACCAATAAATCTTCAATCGTTTTTAATTATAAACAATTAAAACAAAGTTTGCAAATATTTTGAATTTTTTTATTTTTATCTTAATTTTTTAAAAGCAAAAATTTTTTTTATGGAAAAAAAGAAAAAAAAAACACTTGGTGCTTAAGTGTATTTTGAAAGTTTTTCCAGCCTTTTTCTTTTTAAGAATTTCGCAATCTATGTAAGTTATTTGTCCTTTTAAATATTATGTAATTTGTTATATCAAATTTGGATTATATCAAAATTAAGCAATGCTATTGATGTTATAGAAGCATTTTTTTAATTAACATTTTCCTTTGTTACAGAATTTTTTTATTGGTTTAAGATTTCTGATTGTGTAGTTTTGATTTCAAAGAAACAATTTTCGAACTTACGTTATATCAAGATGTATTGCCATATCGCAATGTTTAACAGAAGATGCATCATGATATAAGATTTCCTACATCTCTCAGTCCTAGTACTGACTATAATGAGTTTTTAACTATTCAGTTAGTTATAATTTATGCTTATTGTTTTACTTAAATTTAAGTCACTCAAATGTGCTAAAATATTGAAAGTACATAGTACAAGTCCACCTATTTAAGATTTCAACTGAAAAAAGATACGAATAATTATAAATGAAGGTAAACAGTGATTACAGAGAACGGTAAAAATACCAACTGAATGATTTAAATATCGTATATATTGGTTTAATTACCACAATTATGTTTTCTTTTACCAGAAATGTCTTTTCCAAACAAGTATGGTAATTTTGCCAGAATTTTTTCTCCGTGTAAAATTAAAGTAATTTCTATTTCATTATTAACTGGTAACAGTACATTTACGTTAACTATAAAATATAGACGTTTGCGTTAAATTTAATATTTTTCCCGAATTTTTTCATTTAACATATGCAATAGACGGACAACAATATATATATACTAGTGGGCTGCGCCGCCTGCTCGCTGACGCTCGCCAACCCCCGAAAATTGCTACGCAATCTTACATGGTTCATACTCGCTTCACTTGCTACTAACTTAGGTACATTGCAAATGCACAAAATTCTAAGAATTCAAAACAATCATTCAAATCCATATAAAAACTTTTTTTTAAAAAAAAATACATCTTTTTAGTAAATACTAAGTCATTAAAATAAATTTGAATTCAAATAAATGACATGTAATTCGTTAAACCTATTAGAAATGTGCTATAGTATAATTCGTGATATAAATCAAAAATCGTCAAATAAATTCGTAATATATAAATTCGTGAAAAAAAGCGCTTTCGACAAAATACTAAAATAGAGATCTATCGACAAAGACTACTCACTTCTGCCTAGCTTAATAATATGAGATTGCCGCAGCTGATGCTCTCTGGTTATTTCAGTTTCCGTTTTTAAAAGCGCTATATGTTGAGCCACCTCAGCTAGATTTGGCATGTGACATTTTTAGTGGCAATCATTGGTCGATTCGCCGTGTAAGAGAAATAGTAACGTAAACAAAACAAATCAAACGTTGCCACCGGCGGATAAGAAATACAGCCAAAATTTGGGAGCCACGTAAGAGAATTATATATATTAGATTTTTTCATTTTACACTAATTTGTTTTTAAAGTTCAGTTAGTTACACTATTTTGTATGAGATTTGAGTACATTTTGTACAAACACAAATTCTTGGTATATTGGATTCTTTTTTTTTACTTTTAAAAGTTCTCAAAAATTTCAATCGTGAGAAAAACTTCACTTACAACTTAAAATTTGAATCACGCATGCGGTTACATTCCTTGTTAAGATAAGGCACCTTTAGCGATATCGGAAAAGTTTTATTGCCCGCGAAGCATAATTTAATACTGATCTTTGAGAAGTTAAGAAGTTGTTGAAATGAAATTATTTATTACCATGGCACAGAAATCCAATTCGCAGTCACGGAACGCGAGAAGCTTCAAACAACCCTTCTATTGTTTCGATATATAGCATCTGATACTATCATTATTTTCTCGTTTTCACCTCCGAACGCATATTTTCAGGCTATTTGCGATTTCCCTAGTTTAGTCCTACTTTGTGGTTAAATTTACTCGATCACTAACTATGGGCAAGATAAAAATACGAAATTTAAACTTTATTCCCATTGTTTTAAAACCAAACAAGCGGAAGGAAGTAAAATAATCTGTTTTTTAATTATCTTTAGTAGTTCTTCGCACATTGAGAAAGAAAGTATGGTCAAAACTACCAGAATATGGTAAAATTTACCGTTTTTCTAGCTCTATGGGAACAGCAAAAAGCTTGGTATTTTTTACCGAAACGCATTGATAATGATTTTGGTAAAATTAGCATTGAAATATGGTTTTATAGTGTGTGATAAAACAAGGTAAATGTAGTACTTTTGTCATGATATTTCAGGCTATGGCATACAAATTAATATTCGGTAAAGTTTATTTTTCAGTTTTATATTTTTTACTAAATGTGTGTTACTAAGATTATAATTGTGAAAACCAGAATTTTCAATTAATCATTACCATATGAAAGGAAAAATTATGAAACGAATGGTTTAAATACCGTATAAATTTGCTTTTATCGCTAGAATTTTTAATTTTCTTTTCTAAATGAGAAATGCAATTATCATACAGTACGGTAATTTTATCAGAATTGTTTTCTCAGAGCATAAAAATTATGTTTTAAAACTGTCTTACTCAATGTTAACTAACACACTTATTACCAATAAACCTTTTGTAAAATAGTATAACAATAATGAGTGTCTGAGGTAAGAATAAAATAATTCATAAAACTAGATTTAGATTGTTTTTAAATGATTTATGATACTTAATTAATTTCAAATGATTTTTCTCCTTGTATTGAAATTATATTTGAAAATTCTTTCTTAATGTTAACTAATACACTAATTACTAAAAAACTTATACTTTTTTGTAAAATTCGTAGCAGTATTCACCGGTAGCAATGAAATAATTCATAGAACTAGATTTATATTATTCTAGATTTATATTAGATTTATATTATTACATAGATTTGGATAAGGATTTATGTACTATAAATAACTTAAACCGACAAACTTTGCTTTTCTTTAGAATAGCTGGCGTATGTTTAAATCAGTGTTCTATCCCTATAAATGTGTCCTCTTTGCCCTTTTCGTTAAAATAAGCCACTATTCCTAAAACAATCACTGCCTCTTAATTCATATTCCATTAAAAAAACTAATTCACTGTTTAAATAATAATTGCTCACTGGTAAAATTATCTGCGTTTATTGGCTTAATCCTGATTATTATTACAAATTATTTACTTTGTTAGAAATACTCTCAATTGGTTATATTTTTATAAGTTTTTCTTCTTTTTGGGGGGATAATTTTATGATAAATTAATAGGTGATTTTAATTTTTTCTTAAATAAATATTTCTTTTTAATAAAAATGCATATTTCAATATTCATTTCATTTTCTCATAATTTTTAGTTTAAATAATACTTGAAAAGCTTTCAAGTTGTTTATCAAATATTTTTTTTTGTTTACTTTCTTTTGAAAAAAAAAAATTATGCACAGAGATCGTCTTTTAGTATGCCTTTATTTTTTTCTGCATAAAATATAATTTCTTATTTTATTTTTATAGTGAGTGAAAATTATTTTTTTAAATATATGCTTAAAATAATGTGAAGGTAATTAAAAAATTTTGAGCATCAAATTCAGTTGTTGCATAACACACATTTTGATAAATTTTTGAGATGTTAAGTGAATGCCCTATCAAAACTCTATAATTACCCTTTTCTGTGGGATAGCACGCTGTACTTTTTTTTATTTCTCGGAAAAATTCTGTTTAAATTTGCATATCAACCTCGATAATTCTTCTCCATTTTTTATAAATTACCCGTTGGAAACATGCTTTAATTTTTAAAATTGTAAACATTATTTTTTCACAGGGGTAATTGTGAACCCAAGTCAAAATTCCGGAAAATTTCTTGAGTTAAAAAAAAAAGTTTAAATTCAAAAATTAGAAAAACAATTTAAACCAGATGTTTTTTAATTTTTCTCAATATTTCTTAGTTTACTTAAAATACATTTAAAATTTTACACAAACCTATGATAACCTGGAAAAGTAATTAAAATTTACAAATATGTCTTTCTTTCTTGAGTTTATGATTATAACAACTATTTACTGATAAAAAATGAATATTAATCATGAATGTAAGCTTATAAAGTATCTCCCTGGCTCTCCCTTACAAACAAATAAAATAAACTGTGTTTTTAAGTTCTACCTTTGAAAATTTGATTCCCGGAAACTTCTGTGATCAATGATTTTTTGAAACGTTTGGACCTTCGATCTCCGGAAACTTCCGGATCACTGTTAGCGAAAAATCCGGAAATCCAGATTTTTTCCGGAGCACAATCAGCCCTGAAGTTTTTCAATTGTGCCATTTCAGTCTCAATCTTAATCACATTATTGTGGGTTAAATTTTGATATTTTTCTGTCATACACCGACAACGTTTTTGATTAATTTTGTAGATACTTTCTTAAGAAAGTGACACTCGTTAAAACAAATTCATCTGCAATGCGTTTTATGCCAATTTTGAGAGTAATATAATTGGTTTTGAATGTTTAAAGGTAGTTTTCTATGAATGTTTAAAAGTAATTTTCCTTTGAGCGTACACATATAAAATTTTAAGCAAATCGTTA